CAATAAAATATTTCTGTGCAAACCATGTTGTTAAAATGATTTCCATTCACAACAAAGGTGCACTGTCATGAAATGCTTGGCATGTTTGGAATGGTAAAGATGCTATAAACATAACATAAAAGCAAGGAGTGTCATGTCAAGCTGAAAAAAATATAAAACCCGATGTCCGACCTTACGTTCCAGTCAACAGTATCATACAAATCCTTTGTTTGGGTGAACTTAAGTTTAGCAGAGACAGTGAGTCTTCATGATAACAGCCTTCTCTATAATTAGGACAGACAGCATGTCTGACGATCAACTTGATTTTATTCTCAGAAAAAAAGAGGAATTGCAGATGATATTTTGAATAAATATCTGAATTATTCATAGCAACGTATCCAGCTGCAACAAAACCTTACTCTATGTAGTGAAAGAGTTTAAGCTGATGAGCAAAGCAGAAATAAACTAGTTTCTTGGTGATAATGGCTATGAAACATATACATAAATATATAATAATTAAAGCTGCTTTTAAAAGTATTCCACACAGAGGACTCAATATGTGGAGCATAGGTCTTCGTGCTTTAAGGATCTACTCAGATAACAGAGAGGCTTGAGATGACTTAAGGACTGTTCCTGAAAGAAAGTATTTATTTCAGATGGCTTCAGAGAGTTAACAGCCCAGAGCTGCCTGCGTCAGTAGGAACTGTTACTGAGATTACAGTTGCCTGGCTGATGGGTGTAAACACAGTGGCAGATGGCGACGATGGAGGCCTGCGCTGCAAAAGGGGTTCAGTTCGGGGGGGGGAAACCTTGGCTTGCTTCTTGCCACACTGAGCTCTTTTGTGGTGCAAGGTCTCCACTGCAGAGCCAACAGTCCACATCAAGAGATAACAAACTCCAAAACTCAGTTAGGTAGAGACATGTTTGCTTCCTCAGCAGTGAAACTAAGTTGTTATTCTTTGTGTTTTGAAATGATGAGTGGGAGGGAAAACCCCTAAATGGTATTTGCATGAGTAATTGTGTATTTATCCCACTGATTGCTAGAAACAAGAAAGCAGAGTCTGTCCCACACACTCATTTTGTGAGGCCAGCCTGATAAAAAACTACAAATTAACAGATGGAAAAAGGAAACAACGGGCTGTGACTGGCTCAGAACGGATGGATCAATCATGACTTGTTTGTTGGCGCAGAAAGTATTGACTTGTGTTTAACGGATTACAGTTGCATCTGGGAGACACAAATTGGATGTAAGTGAGATATCACCAGGATTTATTTCAGTTTTTCTGCCAGTGGTTGCATGTATCTCCTTTGTGAGAGAGTTTGCTTATTTTTTTGTGTTCCGCCTCTACTCTGCCGACATGTCACCTATATGGAGATTAATGACTTCCTCTTTGTCCCAGATCCGCTCAGCCTCAACAAGAGTAGTGGGGCGCAGCCATATGCCTGCAACACTGTAGTAACATGCAGGTCCCACCCGTCGGCTAACAGATTGTGGTCAGGGAATCCCCCACAGGATGGACCCAACCCAACTTACATTGTCTTCTTCCTAAACACACACACACACACACACACACACACACACACACACACACACACACACACACACACACACACACACACTTGTGACACAGAGAAATAGGCCACCTGGATCGCAGCATTCCTTAGACACCTGATCCTGTTGTCTGAGACTTTCAAAAGCAAAAAGAAATCTGGTGATTTCACTCCTTTGTCTTGTCTACCACATGAAAAGAAGATATGTCCACAGCCATGCTAGCTACACAGGGCTAAATGCTAATGTCAGCTTGCTCCCAAAGACAATGCTGACATGCTGATGTAACGTATGTATCTGTTCCATGCTTTCCATCTCTGTGTAAGGTGTTAACATGCAAACATTTTCTAATAAGCAGCAAGCAAAACATAAATGATGGGAATGCCATTAGATTTTCAGGTATTAGGCCATTCACGTTTCACCTTAAATATGCTTTAGAGGAAGTAGGCCATAAAGGTCATTTCACTGGAATCCATCCAATGGTTGCTGAGAATGGCTGTTAGCCTTCCAAAGTTGTGAAACCACTGTTGTTCGCTGTGTGCCGCCCCCTCAACCCGCCAGTCAAATGTCTGAGGTCAAAGCATGTTATTTCAGAAGTCGGCCACTTTGTTCAATCACTTGGTATTTACTAAAATGACCTGTAAATAAACACAGGTGCACCACTTTGTGGGTCAGGCAGCAGCCAAAACGCAATCGTCCACTGATGAGTGCAATTTTCTGCCTCCACAAAGGATGAATTCATAGGCTGCAGGTGGAAAAAACTGAGCGTTGAGGACAATGCAATGACAGTGTTTTACATCCGGGTGTGTGGGAAGTAATCAGAGCAGAAAGGGAGTTATTTCACGCTCAGCTGTGTTTTGTGTGCAAATGCAGTCACAGTTTTGTTATGTCTAAAATGCAGTTGTTTAACTTAAGGTGTATTTGACTCACCACTTGTTATGCCTAGACTCAACAACATTTAGTGGGTACTAAACTACTTTGGGCACAAATTGTCTAAAAAACAACAGGAAACAGAGGGTTGCTGATATAAAGCTCTTTCCACATGTCAAAATGTCAGTCATAGGTTGATTAGCCTCCACCTTTGTTTCACGGGTAAGCACGAGGCTCACCTCTGCATAAAATCACTCAATGGAAAGTGTAAGTGACTAAAACAACTTGTCTAAACTCACATATCACTATGTTTATTTTATGTCCACATCATCAAAGCTGCAGGAACCCAATCAAGAAAAATAATAGTCTGTACCCTCCCAGAGACAAAAGCATCATCCCCTGGCAGCTGGGGGGCGAAGTGAATGCAATGTTTTTGACCCAAAAGCAACCTCTGAAATGTGCGACCCAAAGTGGATGGGAAGTATATTAACATTTGGTTTCTTCATAAAAAGCTTTCACACTAAAACCAAATAACACCCAAACAATGGCAGCCTTGTAGCACCATTGAGGACGCCGAGGTCATGTCCTTGCTTTTTCTTGGAATTAATTTTAGCAATAAGGGATGTTTATGTCCTGCAATTAAAAAGGTAACGTGTGGTTGGTATGAATGGGAGTTTCACCTATATTTAGATTCAATATATTTGCATTTTACTACTCTAAAAGGAAAAAGGGAATCACTATTACCAGACAAATGTCATTCCTGGCAATGCAAAGAAGCTGTAGAAATCAAGTTACAGAGAAGACTAAATATCATGAAAGATTAAAATAAGTAAAACATGTGTTATGTTTCGCTGCTGCTCAGAGTTTTTTTAAAGGACACATTACCTCACTATCTCTAAAATCCTGGCTACAGCCCTAAAACCTCATTGGGCTTTGTGTGTAAAACAAAGCCCAGCAATCTGGGGTGTGGATGCATAACTATCCCAAAACAATGCAGTTTATTTTCTTCAGTATTTAATAGTACCTACCAACAACATGGGAAAATCCCCCATTGGCACACTGCATGACACAGTGACTTTTCTATATTTCAAACACAAGAAGTTGATAAGAAAAAAAGGAGAAGCCAAATTTCACAAAACCAGTCTCGAGCACAGAGAAAGCTCTGTGTCTGCTGTGTCAGTTATTAAATGTCAGGTAACTGAAAAACAAACACACACGCACACACAGACCTCAGGAAATCCCCAACCTGACAAGCATTCAAATTAATATATAAATCAACATCAGTGTCTCTTAGACTCTTATCAGTCTGGAGATCAAAACATTAGAGCCAATAAAACCACAAGCTCCAATACTACCGTTTTTTTATATAGTTTAGTTTGAGAAATCATTTAGATATAGTTTCCTCAATGCTGAAAGGGAGAAATCCTTTAAAATGACCCAAAGTGGAAACATGCGCTTTCAAATAATCCTGAATAATCCTTTGGATTAATAAACTGTACACTCTGTCTCTCCAGTGGAAGCAGAGCAGCAGCAGAGATACAGCCATCTCCACCCAGCTGGAAAACACAGACTATGATGACCTACATTATTGTAAAGTGGGCACAGGCTCCAGAGACCTCGAGCTGGAATCTCAGCAGCCCAGCCTGCACCGGCTTCAAGGCCCAGGTCTAGAAAAGCAGACAAAAGAGTCCCAACCTACATGCACAGAGGACTGCATGTTAAACACAGGGGCTGCAGATTAACGCTGTGTTCCTGCAGGGCCCTCCCTCTGTTGCTTGCCTTTGATATGTGGCACAACCTGCACCTCCAGGGGCAAGGCAGACTCAAGAGGAATGTTAAATGGTCCTTCCCTTTGAGATGAAATGTTCAATATGAATCATTGATGATGCCTCCCCCCCACACAAATTCCCAATTCTTATACCTTCCGGCTAAATTACCAACCAGCACAAATGTTATGCTCTCATTAGGGGCACCTTTGCTAATTTAAGGCTAATACATCGTGAATTAGTTTAATCATTTGTCGATGAGCACAGAGAGGGGTGTGACCTTTGCTGGCTGTGGGAAAGAGGAATTGTTGTAAAAGTGGATATTATGTTGCACACTATTTTTCTTTTAATGTCTCTGTTATGTTATCATGTGTACGGGCAGGGGTTTAGATATCTCTCCTCATTTGTACATAAGGTTTATGCATCATTAGATGTGCAGAAAATGGCTCCGATAGCTGAGCCCTGCCCAGAACCCTAAACACATTAATCCAATACTTTTCTGTTTGGTGACGAGCATCTGACCTCATCAAGCAACTATGACCTAACACATCTCATCAGCAGCACTGGACCACTTTGCAGCATAGAGCTTTATATATAATTAGGTACATGTTGTAACAGTCATTAAAGTGATTCATACTTCGATGCATTACATACAGTTTATATAAGCTTTTTTCCCTCCCTCAAACAAAGTGGGCTGTCCCTTTTGCTCCATGACAGCTGCAAAGCTGTCACTGCCTCTCCTACAGGGGCAGGTCTAACGATAGAGCGTAGGGAGGTGTGACAGAGCACGCGGTCTGATTGGTCAAAGAAGCTTAACAGCCATCATGAACATCCAATCAGAGCAGCTCATAAGTGAGGCCGAACATGTCCAACGTTGGCGCTGTGGTGCGTAATGGGCACATCTAGAGGAATAGATGTGTATTAATCAACTATAGCTGTGGTTTTGATGTTGGGTTATATTAGGTAATGTCAGAATATACGATGTCATCTCAATTAAACATGTATAAGGTGAATGTATTGACTGTAACGTCTTTAGACAGGGTAAAAGAGGACTTTTGCGCCGCCGTGTCACACATCTGCAAAACGCTCAACGACACGGAATCAGACCTACCCATCCCCCGTTATCTTGTATCCAGCTGCTCAGAGGTCCGTTTAAATACTCTGTCATCCACTCCGCGATGTTGTCCACCTGCGATGTCATCTCCTGCTTGGAGGCGCACTCCACACACACCGTGCCCCCGAACTCGAAGAAAGCGATAATCCGGCCCCAGTTCACCCCGTCCCGGAACAGTTCGTCTATCACCTCGGAGAATCTCCTCTGCGCCGTGGTGGAGGTGAGATAGAGCTGCCGAGACATCTCCGTGAAGTCCGGCTGATACAGTCTCTCAAGTTCGTCCCCAGCCTCCCGCAGGACTCTGTGGATCTCGACGGCCGGGTCGGGCTGGGGGATCCGTCTGCACAGCTGGGGGGTGCTCTCGCTGTCAGGCCCGGTGCTGGCTTCACGGCACCGGCGGACCAAAGTCGGTGCAGGGACCACTATCGACCCATTATTATCAGCCTCTTCATCCCGGACATCATCGAAGCCAAACGCGAAGCCCCGTTTTGAGAGTTTATGGCAGATATACTTCTCCACAATGTTGCGATTACACTCGTTCGCCATTCCGTCTTAATTTGGCACTTTCTACGGGCAGAGGCTGTCCTAAAATAAATACATTGTAATCGAATATTTGCACTGTATTGTACACAGCACAAGCTCACCCAAAACTATAGGTTGTGTTAAAAAAGAAGCAATGCAACGAGTAATCCCCACACAGGGAGAAAATGCTTCGCGAGTTGAAGGAAATCACTTAATCAAAAATGCGCAGAAAAAAACGTTTGAAAAGTTAAAACATAGTGAGTACGTGTCAGAAGCAGTCTTCATTTCCCGAATCCTTAGGAGAGACGTTGGCGACCTTCTCTTTGCATTGAAATCCAATATGCGGAAGAGGTTGGAGTGGTGCTGATCTATTCCTGTGCACCAGACGCTGATGTGTTGCGAATAAAAGCATGAATGAGGGCCAAAGTTGTTCGCACCGGAAGGGGCTTCAAACACCGCGAACTATTTTAGCAGCGTTTACGCACAACCAGTCGCAGGACTGTGAGCCAGACAAGGTCGGACTGACTCCTCTTGCACGATTGCTCCACATATCGTCCGCAGAAGCTCCCTGCTCACCGCCAGTGCTGCTAGTGAGGTATTCCTGACGTCAGCTACGCACGTAATTCCTTTGGCTGCGCTCGGAGACTCCTAGTACACGTGAACTGCACTAAAAATCATGAATAGACATTATTCTGGTGATTGCATGTGCAAAGCATAATTTAAACGACTTAAATCCACTCAAATCTAATCTGACACTGCTTTTAGATCCAAAACCAATTTTTTTTCAAGAAAAGCTCTAAGAGGATCCTAGTTAATTCATGAGGAGCAGTCAGACATGCCTTGCTTCTTTGATGTGGTCCAGCCACCCCCTTGTGGATGGAGATCTAACCTTGCAGTACACAATTGATGTACCTGTATACAATTTCCCTGTGTTCTTTTGATTCCCTACCTAGTCTCCTCTATCTGTCCAGCATGTCTTCTCATTCTCTGAAGGGACAAACAAAGCATCCACAATCTGTGTTCTGTAAATCTGAGAGAGATGCTGCTCTGGAAAGTTTTCTCATGGAAGATTAAAATCTAATTTCCTCAAACGGAATACTTACATTCCCACAGGCCACGTACCCTTCTGAAAAACCCAGGTCAGCGATATGGTATTGAGAAAGCCAAAGACGTCTGCAGCTATGAAAAGTAAATAGTTAATGGTTGTGAACTTGTGACAAAGAATGAAATCAAAAGCAATTTAAGAAACTGAAAGATTAAGACTAGGAATTAGATTGTTTTTCACAGGTATTTATTTAGTTTGTCATGTAAGAAAATAAGACAAAGAAACGTTCCACTTCTCACATTTTCTTTCATGGCACACAAGGTGAAGGTGTTAGTTAAGTTTTTTGGCAGAAGAAAAATTCAAGAGGGAAAAAAAAGGAAATAAATGTGCATTATGATTTTCACGTTTTATACTCATATTGGGTATCTGATGATGACACCATTAAATAAGGGCTAACTAGCTTGACGGTTACATAACATAAATCTTCACTCTATGTTCCAACATATTGTAAGCATAGGCTTCATTTGCATAGCTCATAGGTTAAAACAAAACTGCTTTTATATGGGCTACATGTTCAATTAACTATGTCTTGCTACCTTAAATGTAAAAGACAACCTTTGAAAGCAATAAATGTACAATTGCGAAAAGCTCGAGTGCAGGAGAGCATGCCGTTAACCAATTTCCAATGAGAACATCATCAAACATGAGTCATCCATTCTCACTTTCATAACTTGAATTTCTGCCAGGCTTCTTTTTTTGTCATACAAAGACTGGAAATGGACAAAATACACAAGAACAGTTGGCATTTTACAGTGAAAGTACTAAAGATAACGTAATAAATGAACTGGGTAAACCACATGTGGGTTGAGCCACATAGTTCTGTGGACAGGTGCATTCTTATGGCATTAGCTTTTCAGTAGTAGCATATCTTAAGGCTGGGAATGGGTCCCCACACTGCGCCACAGCTTTAACAATCTAACTCACATCAACGAAGCAGCAACATCAAAAAAAATCTCACACAAATGCATTGCATCTACAGAAATTGTCTCAACACATTTTTGGCATTCAAATATTGGTGTATTTAAAAATATGTTCTGATTTGTATGCTTTGTTATAAAGTACATTCTCCCCGTTTGTGATGGACAGAAGAAAGACTTGCAAGAGTCGACACTGTACTTTTCTCCCTCTATATGCAAAACATATGGAAACACATGTGGTGAATACAAGGTTGTTCAAGGAGGGAATGAATATTGTCATTTAGGGAGCTGCAGAGCCCCAACTGTGCGTGACAGGAGGTCAAAATCAGAAAGACGAGGATAACACTTCACTGTTAGTCCCTCTGCTATTTCGGCCTTTTTGTAAAAACAAATCTCTAGCGCCCTCACTAGACCTACAGGGACATGACTCGACCTGCAAGTCTTGCCCGGCCCTGACTGACACCGCCCCAACAAATGATGGATCCCACTTGGATCTTGACTGGCTGGGGTGGCTGAATATGTGCACGGACACATTTCATGTAATAATGATATGCTTCCTTTCACATATTTCATGAGAAAATGTGTATTAAACTCTGGTCATATTCACAGGTGAAGAGTGACATTACCAGTGCTGGCCCTGCTGCCTCTTCATGTTTTTATGTCGTGGCTTCAACCAGTAGTACCTGCTTTCCTTTCTCAATGAAATAAGATAGGATGCCAAGGAAAATAATTTGGTGCGTTTATTCCAGAGATGATAAAATTGAATGGCTTTTTTCCCCCTGGGGGTTTGGCTCAGTCACAGCTAACCCAAAACACACACAATCATGCACCCAAATATATATTATCCCAAAAAACTACATCTGAAATGTTGAAATATTATTTGTTTCTAGGAATTATGTTTTTGTATTAGTAACATTTTAAAACACATCACACATTCTCTCTCTCTTTCTCAATCTAAACTTGGTTCAGATCAAACACAGAGGGTCTCAACCTGGTTTTAAACAGAGGTAAAGTGCTTTGCCTGCAAAGACTTTTGGTATGAAAAGGTAGAGAATAAGGGCCTATTTAGACCAAACTGAGATATTCTAACATGTGGACCTTCCTTTGTAATACATGAAATGTGAAGATAAAAGCTGGGAGTTACCATCCTGGTTTTCACAATAACCCCTGGTGGGAGGGATTTTATTTATTTTTTTGGCTCAACCGGTCCGACAGACGGTGTGTTGATTTTCCTCTTTGTGCGAAAAAAACAAACAAAAAACAGCACTGTGCAAGTGGAGGCCTGACATCTAGTGAATGGTTCAAAAAGCCTGCCTACTTCAGAACAGGGCTGTGGGATGTTTAGTCTGCCCCCATTCCCTTAAAGTAAGGCTGCTCCCTGAAAAAGAAGCAGGTGGACTATTAAACTGAAAAGTCACTGGAATGCTCAGAGAGGATAGAATAATGAGAATGACTGAAGTCTATGGAGGAGTTGTGTAACTGGACAAGCAAATAGTAAACATCTGCCACTCTAAATCATATCTGCTGATATGAGAAGTACACTCAAAGCCTGACCTTTCCTCCACCTACAGTTGTGCACTTGAACAGCTGGAGGAGGGGAGGGGATGGGGGGGTGGAGGAGGAGCTGTGAATAAGGTAAGGCTGCTGTCACTCCCTCTTGTCAGCTGCTTTCGACTGCTCCCTCTGAATCATGCAGCGGCGAACAATACTATCAAAACTCCCCAGGTAGAAGAGGGCGATAGTCCGAAATAACCCCATGGTAACAATCTGTGAACAGAAGATAAATGGACTTTAGAATTTGAAACTCGCACAATAATAACAGCACCACTCCAGTCAACGTGACAAACATGATGTCCATGGCTTTACCTGCTGGAGACCTTCTGTGATGGAGGTGACAGGTGACATCCCACAGGTGAGGGCAGATAACATGTAGCCGTCGGGTCCCACAGAGCAGTTGAAGTTCCCCTGCTGCAAGAGCAAAGAAGATAAGGGACAGTCAGATAAATCAACAACAGATTATCCATGCACTGGACAAGAAACATGGTGGGTTAGTGGGAAGTGAAATGTCTTTCTTACCACTGCATCCCGAACAATGATTTTGGCTACTTGGTCTGGTTGACACACGCCAGAGGTTTCAGAGATTAATGTGGTCTCTAGAGGCTAGCAGAGTAAAAAAGGAAAGGAATATGCTTTAAATAGAGCAGAATGGGAAATTAATTATGTAAACGGTTTTTGTTTTTTAAAGAAATATTTACCTTGGACTTATTTTCCTCAGCCAATCCTGGAGTGTCAGTGTCAGGGGGGTAGGCCACAGTCACATAGATGTTGTAAGGCTTTATCTGGAGTAGAAGAAAAGCAACACTCACTGAACAATATGTCTTACCATTTGACATTGATGATAAACTACAACAATCAACCTTTTACACAAAAAGGAAATACTGTTAAGTACAAGTTTCCCCTTTTGATAGACTGGGTCTCACATCAGCACAAGCAACTCAGCAGCAAAGCGATCAGAAAATATAATTAGCTAATTATTTTAACTATTGTAAAGGTGCTTTGAGTTGCAGCATGTTGCCTTGGTGTACAGAGGAAACCTGTGCAAATCTGTATTTGTTCAAGCGCACAAAAACTCACCTCCATCTGCAGAGACTCAGCTAAGCCACGCAGGGCAAACTTGGATGGGGAGTAGGCAGTGTATCCAAACAGGCCGATCTGGCCGGCTTGGGAGGACACGAACAAGATGCGGCCCATTCTCCGCTCCTTCATCGTGGTTATGACGGCCCGCGTTGGGTAAACGCTGCCAAGGTAATTCACTTCCATCAATTTCTGTTGGAAGAGGCCACAATTCACTCATATTATAACAAGGTTGGTCCTGTAGATGTAGATTAAGTCGATTTTTGTAAAATAACACATTACATCCCATTGGTGGGGTAGGGAATTGTTTTTTGTATGTATATTAACAGAACAAAACTGGTAGTATGGCTATATGTAACTATTAGTATTGTTAGTAAGTGTGTTAAATAGAGAATGCACTGACCTCACCACATTCAAAAAAACGTACAAAAACTCACCTCTTCAAACTGGCTTTTAATGTGGGATTGTTGTTTTATTGCTCGATTTTAATGTGATTTTTACTATATTTAATTGTTGTTCTTTTTTTTGTTTTTAATACTTCTGTAAAGTGACTTTGAGCACCTGTAAAAGTGCTTACAAAATAAATGTATTATTATTATTATTATAATTCTCATAATAACTTGAAAAGTTATGGCCCTATTCACAAACTATATTCTTTTTTTTAACACTTCTTAAAATCAGTAGCTTATTGTCTTAACATAAACATCATGGCCGTGTCTTGGCCTCAGCCCGAGGTACCTACTTTGAAACGGTCCACTTCGATGTCCTCAAACTTTCCAGAAATGGCTAAACCAGCGCAGTTCACCAACATATCGACGGGGCCGAGCTTTTCTTGAGCCTGCACAAAAGGAAAAATACACTTAAGGACTGAATTATTAAAAGGAACCCAAGATGTTCCTCTGTTGCCAAGAGAGTAACGTTACCTGTTTTATCACACTTTCCACCTGGCTGTAATCACTCGAAACATCCACTGATATGCAGAGCACCACCTGAGTAAGGAAATTAAACATTATCATATGCAATGTAATGCAAAATGGCATCAACTATTATGCACTTTATAAACATGTAAACTGTACAGTCATAGAAGATGCTTTAAAACAATATCTAACAGTTACAACTATCATTGTATAAATGGCACATACCTGTTTGTCATTGATGGCAAATTTCTCCAGCTCCTTCTTTGCTTGAAGCAATTTCGCCTAAGTAAAAAAGTGAATATTGTACATGTTAAATTTTCAGAAACATAAATGCTCACTGAACTGTTTAGCACAGAATAAAGTGCATGCAAGTGGAGAACATCCTTCACCTAAGTGAGTCAGTTAACCTTTAGAATATATTTGACTGCGTTTGGCATCAAATTTGTTGGCTATAACAACAAATAGGTTGCTAAGAGGCAAGGCACAAAGGAATGATTTGTGGAATTTGGTTTGTGCTGACCTCATTCCGTGCCACCAAAGTGATGAAAGCTCCTTGTCTGTAGCACTCGATTGCAATGCATTTTCCAATCCCACTTGAGCCTCCTGTCACCTAAATGTGAAAAGGGTTAAAACATTATTAACCAAAAGGTCAACATCAAACTGCACTCTGTTGACAGACCATTATAAAAACATTAAGTGGACCAGCACTTGATATTCTAAACCTTTTCTATATATATATATTCTAAATACTTGTAATTTACTTGAGTATTTACATTGTACTTCTTCCCCATTACAATTCAGAGGTAAATAGTGTACTTTTAATACACTACATTTATTTAATATATTTAGTTACTTTGCAGATTTGGATTAAGTATGTGAAATATAATCAACCCTTAAATAAGACTTTAGTTACACCTGGAGTGACATTTACAAGCTACCCTGCACAATAAAAAGTAATTCAAACTAGCTGCACCTTTAACAGCTGTGATAAACACATTAATGCATCAATAGTTGTGATCAAAACATATGATATATTATTCTGAAATCGTCCAATCTGCATAATGAGTACTTTTGGTACTTAAGAATGAATGCAGGACTTTTACTTCTCTACCTCTGATAGCCGGAGTAAATGCATTAGTTTTAAACTGTTTATGTATTATTGTTAGGGTAAACTTGCAAATAGAGTTGAGTGAGTTCGGAAGATAGCGTTAGCATAACTGTAATGTCAACGTTGCCTAATTCATTATGTGGGCGTGTCACTTTTCATAACAGTTCACTGCAATTGTAAATTCGCAACTCAGAATATATTTTTCTCATTCAAAGCCTTACGGCTGGTTATAAGCTATAGCTTTCAAACGAGAACTAGCTATAAAGCTAAAATTAGAGACAACGTTAGCTATCGTTAACAGCCTAACTAACGTCAGCAGCACTTACCACGACGTGGGCCCCGTTCAGTTTCAGAGGCTTGGGGCTAATAAGAGGCGATATCATGTATAACAGCAACACAAAGGCAACAATAAAGGCAGCCACTACAATAAGCATGATGAATGGCAGAAGGAGCCACCAGGAATTGATGAAAAGCCAATCCGTGAACGTTGAGCTCAAAGCTTCTTCAGAGGACATGGGTGAAACCTGACTATCGTTAGCTTGTTTGCTAACTAGCAGGCCAGCTTCTGGGGTCCAATAACGGGAGCTATGAGGCAAGCGATGGCCCTCAAAGGGGGAGGCGAAACAAGTGGGAGGAGGAGTTGGAAGATTTGGCAATGAGTCAAAGAAGTGTAACGACCACCTTAAAGTTACGCGGTGGACCTTCGCTCCCCGGTACAAAGCGCAGTCTGTATAAACCAAAACAAATCGAACCGTGCACTGCAAACAGACGCTTTACGAGGGTGCTTGGTAAATGTAGTTCTTGAGCTAACAGGGTTTCATCTGAATCCAAACGAAACGCTTCTTGAGGTGCCTTAACATCAACTCCCACAATGCAATGCGCCGCTTCCTCATTCGTCGTATCCGTTTCAATCGTATAGTTGAGTTATATGCTCAGCTCTTGTACTTGAGTAAAAGTAGAAGTACATGAGTGTAGGAATACGCGTTTACAAGTGAAAGTCCTGCATTTAAAAGGTTAAACAAATACAAGTACAAAAGCATTAGCATCAAAATATACTTAAAGTACCAAAAGTAAAAGTAGGCTACTTATTATGCAAATTGGTCAATTTCAGAATAAGATATATCACATGTTTTCATTATAATTAGTGATGCATTAAAGTGTGATCAAAGCTGGTAAAGGTGCAGCTAGTTTTAAATAATTTGCATGCTGCAGGGTAGCTTGTGAATGTTACACCAGGTGTAACTAAAGTCTTATTTAAGGGTTGATTATATTACACATTATTTATCAAAATCTGTAAAATAACTGCAGATATTAAATACATGTAGTGGAGTAAAAGCACACGATTTACCTCTGAATTGTAGTGGAGTAGATATACAAAGTAGCATAACATGTAAATATTCAAGTAAAGTACAAGTATCTCAAAATTGTTTTCAATTGCAATACTTGATTAAATGTACTTAGTTACTTCCCACCTCTGCCTCTGGTATAAACATAGTATGTTCACACCAAACCCAACCAGCCACCAGGTATGATCGCTGATAAGGTAAGGTTGTTTTTTGAAATTGCGAAAAAGGTGATAATCATTCTATATCCCTTTTGTTAATGCTTGACAAAAATTAGTCCTGAATTTGATACAAAAGGAAACTGTTTTTTTTTTATGTAGCTATAACTTTTTATTTACATTATTGAAACAAAAACAGAAACTCTTATGCATTGTCACCTCTTCACAAAGAAAAGGGTCAAGTGTTGGCTATATGTATAGACATTTACAGTAACGTAAGAGATATTCCCCATCAAAACTTAAAGGAGATAGTTTGCACACCTTAGGAGCAAAATAACACATTTGTATACAATCTCTAAAAGAGCTTACATGAAATGTGAAAGTTTCATACATTTCTTAGTTGTATTCACAAAGCACTGGATATATAAGAAGTATGACCAATTAAGAAATAAACCAATAAAAAATAAATCTTGCAGCTTCTCTAGAAGGCACATGGTGCACACTGCCACTCGTGGCTACATAAAGTTCATGCTTGGAGATACATTCCCATATTGTTAGGTATACAAGAAGAAGATCTCCCCAACTGAGCCTTCAGTGTCCAACTAAGTTTTGTTTGACCGAAATTTATAATGACTTTTTCTTAACATAAGGCTTAGTATTTTTGCAGTTTATATTGGATAACCAGCAATGCCTATTGATAATAATGAAAAATATGTACAGTATGTTGTGAGAAACCTAACTCATGAGCTGAGTGCAGAGCAATTAAAAGCATTCGAGTCCTTGAATATTGTAAAATAATGCTGGTCTGGCATCATTGGTGATCCACCCTTGTAGCGTGTTTAATTGTAATGAAAAATAAGTAAACAAACATCAATGTCCTTTTTTTTGTAGGAAACTTGATGCACTTGAATTTCAAAAGGGTCTAATATAGCTCTCATCCTGAGTATCTGTCTCAAAACTCTTAAACGTTCACCACCTTGAGACAACAATGACATATTTTACCACAACATATCCTATGAACTCATGCCCGCTTCACTCTCCCAGCCCAAGATTTAAACATTCCACAAAATACAGTATACACTATAAAATGCTTGTTTTTTTTTTCTTAATATAAAATAGAGAATACATAAGGGTTATTTATTAGTGAGATTTATTCCGACTGGAAAAAGGATGCAAGAGCTAGTCCCAAACTTAAAATAAATTATCTTCATTTCAAAAACCTTGTTTGCAATCATGTGTGTGTATGTCTTTTGGTTGATATGAAATAAAACTCAGTCCTTCCACTCTTTTAGTGGTTATCAAATTGGCAGAACAGCGCAGTGATCTTGTCCATTTACGATAAACCACGAAGCCTGGTGAATGGTTATGATGAGACACATAGAGGGGAAAAAGGGACAGGTACAAAAAGAAGAGACAATGACAATTCCTTTGCTTTGGTATGGCTTAATTATCCCTCCTAGCCTTCCTGTCCAAAGTCCTCTGTGAATTTTTTCAGTTTGCCCAGATCTTGATCATTGACTGTTGGCTTTGTGCTGGCCAGAGACCTCAACATGTCAGACTGAAAAGGGGAGAAAATATAACAAGATATTAAAGCGGAGGCTCATATGTGCAATTATATTACCATTTGGTATTTTTGTTTATTCTTACCATGCATACTATAGGTTCCAATAGCTTCTCCCCAGGTACCTCCATCCATGTCATTTCAATCGCGCTGGGATCGCCAGGTGAGCAAGGAGTCAAGAGGTCATCTACTAACATGTTGGGGTCATCTCTTGATGGACCTCGTGCCTTAATTATACAAGTGACAATTAGTTAACTATAACATGTTGCACTATAGTATAAAACAGTGACAAATATTTTAAAAGACATACCCGTTTGAAGTGGGTTGCTGACTGGACCTTTCGAACAGGCTGCATGAGAGCATCTCTGACAATGACACTGATATCAGCTCCTGAGTATCCATTCGTCTTCTTGCCCAGAGTGACAAAGTCGGTTTCGTTGAGACAGTTGGGGGTCGAGCCCAGATGGAGCTTGAACATGAATGAGCGGGCGTGCTCCTCAGGCAGCGGGATGTAGATTCTCTTCTCAAATCTGAGAGTATTATTGGTGTACAGTCAGTCAATGACAGTGACAACATGGTTGCTAACATCTTTCACCAAGTAGTTACAATTACCTTCTTCTGATGGCTGAGTCCAGGGTCCATGGGATGTTTGTTGCTCCAAGTACCAGCACTCCGTCGTTGTCAGTCCCCACACCTGCAAAACAAAAAAAGTCAGACTAAGTACACATCTAAATTCTTCATTTTAACAACACACTTTGGTACTTTCACTGACATTGACTACAGCTTTCTATAAGTGCAAGTTACAAAATGAGATTATTGCACCATTGCCTATTATTGGTCAATGCAGTGGGATTTACAGAGTTTACAAACTCTGCTCAAGTAATTTTTATTGCAAACTGAGTATTGAAGAAATTGTAACACATTTAATAATGACAATTGAAAATAAGATCAATATTGATAAGCATATACGGAAACATTTGAATCACATTTGAGCAGGGATGAAGTTTAAACATTTCTGAGCTAAAATAGGAAGAAAGTGGCAACCCTCTTTTTTCACCTAAATGAATGGTTGCCAGTGGCTTTTCATCTATAGACTATGCTGCACTTCCGGCCACACCGCAATCACTGAGGTCACAGCAGGGGGTTTCCCTCGCCTGTCAGAAAGCATATCTACTGTGACATCGTTTTATGGGTGTGACCGTATCATCATTTTTACCTCATGTGATTCACTGATCATTTGAATTGATCACACTTTAGTTAAAAATAAGTGAATAATACGTTAATAGGGAAGTAAAGAGATAGTAAGCCACATCTTAAGATTAAGAAAAAAATGAAATACATTTCAATTTGTTGCCATTGGGCTTGTGTATTAAGGGACCGAACAACCCAGATATTATTTTCCTTTTAGTCACCCAGACATTGCAGCTTTACATTTTCTCCTGAGCACAGCTGGAGTTTTTATGGTGGTACATTTGTCTTTCCCATGTCATGTAACTAAAATGATTCCAGGGAAAATGTAGGATGCATATAGAAACAAAACGTTTTGCTTCATTTAGTAAATAAACCATCGTTTATCAGACTTACCCTGCATCTGAACCAGGAACTCTGTCTTAATACGGCGAGCAGCCTCGCTCTCGTTTTCACTTCTTGAGCCACACAGGGAGTCAATCTCATCAATGAAGATAATAGAAGGCTTGTGTTCCCTTGCAAGGGTGAACAGATTCTTCACTAACCTGGGAAGCAAAAGGGAAATTTACAAAACAAAAAAACAACTTTCTGCTGGCTGCAATATATGTTATGCTTAACTTTTCTCTACTTTGCTTTGGTGGATTACTCTTAATAGAACTTACTTTTCACTCTCTCCCAGCCATTTGGAGACAAGATCAGACGAGGAGATGGAGAAGAAGGTTGAGTTGTTGGCCTCCGTGGCAACAGCTTTAGCCAGATAGGACTTTCCTGTACCTGGAGGTCCAAAGAGAAGGATCCCCCTCCATGGTGTTCTCTTTCCTGTCAGTCAACAAAGAGGTAATTTAGGCTATAGTGTCAACAGAAATCTGTTTCTGTTTCTTGCAACAAAGATGTTGGCTTCTGTTATTCAAGGGCAAAGTTACGAGGAAACTTTTCTAATGATTACGATTTATTACCTGTGAAAAGGTGGGGGAATTTGATCGGAAGAATAACAGCTTCTTTCAGTGCCTCCTTGGCACCCTCTAGTCCAGCAACATCATTCCATTTGATGTTTGGTTTCTCCATAACAATTGCACCTGGAAAGAAGAACACAATACATTTCTAAAAGTCTTAAGAAAATCACAAAAAATAAACAAATATTAACATTAGTATAAGTATAACATAAGTATGCAGCAGGCCCAATGACCCTCAAAAAGAACATTACTAACCTGAGAGCTGATTTTGGAACTTCTTTTTCTCTGGATCGTCCCCTTCATCGCTTTCATTCCTGGAGACACAAAGATATAATTAAAAATAAGTCTACAATTGTGCCTATATATGTAGTAAAAAATGATGTACTATATCTCTACTTCTATCTATATATATATATCTCAATGGAACACAGATTTTCCATGCAGGTCTGAATGGAATCACATCTGCCCCACCCATATACACACCCTTTGTCATCAGACTGGGACTCTTTGACAGGCTTTGCAGGGGGAGCATTTTCTTTCTTCTTTAGATACTCCTTCAACTTTTCTGCTCTGTCCAAATATTCGGCACATTTTGCCCGGATGCTCTGTTTAGCTTTGTCACTCTGGGCTTCATCTGTGAAGAATAACAACAAAAAAGGTACACAAAAATTATTTCCCATTTAAGCATGTGTTCATGAAAGAGACATCACAAAAGGTGTCATTTATTTAAATTATACTTGCCATCACTGCTATAATGATCGTATACAGAAATAATACACTTAATGCCAATATTCTGTTTTGTGCCTTACATTTCACCACATGGAGGAAGTACTGAACAGCAGCCTGGTAAAGTCGCAGAGCCTCCTCATATTTCTGAGCTTTATCCTCCTGAGCAGCCTTGCTGGCAAGATCAATGGCTTTCTAAAATAAAAGAGACACAGAATAATGTAAGATGTATAACCTGTGCAGATTCTACAATTGACGACGAAAACAGATAGTTGTTTGAGGTTCATGAGTTTGAATTATGAAAGTGTCAGGACATAAACAACCAAAACAAACATCTAACTCTAAATGCATTACATTAAATGCACACAATGTTCAAATACTGCTCAATGCACATATTCTTATTTCATATTCTATAACTCATTGCATTCCATTTCGCTGTACATTACTGCTCTATTTCATTGCTATTTAACTATATTTTATTACAGTGTCCTTAAAGATTTTTTTGTTTTATATAGGATTTTTTGTTTTATATTTTATGTATGCACCATGACATCAAGTCAAATTATTCGTATGTGTGAACCTACTGGCAATAAACATGTGCGAAAATTGTGAAATGTACCAAACCAAAGTGACGCACACTAAAAAAGTGAATATGTCAAGTCGCAGGCAACCTTTCTATATTTAGATGTATCTATCAAATTAATGTGTGAATATCAGATGTTTCTCGTGTGATGACACTACGCACACCGAGGTAGGAGTGGACCTGGATTCATTCTTTCACTTCCTTTTTTACCGTAGACAGTATGTAACTATAACACAATGGGTACATAAAACACAACTCCTAAATGATATAACGTTAACAGTTGTACTTTCTTTTTGAAGTGGATTTCTATTTAAAGGCCACATAAAAACAGTTAGCAAGCTAGCAACGTTAATCTCCTTAGCTATGTGTTTTGTTCGTCAATACAGGCTAACGCTAATGATATATGGCAATTGCAACGATTTTGTATCCTGTAACAAAGTTAAATACAAGCTTTAATAACACATAATATGCCACCATTTCACACGTTTTTGATCTGCGTTGTTGACAAGTTAACTGCCATGTTAGCTAGCCATGCTAACCAGCAGCTAATGCTATTTTACACAGTCGGAAGCATTTACACCGAACACCACTCGACAAAACAAGGCCAGACGTTTCAGTAGACAATAACTAGGATCCTTTTACAGTTAACTCCACATGTGAACATCTACCTTGGGTTATTTACGCGTTTTTAAGCCAGCCCTGGGTGTTTTTCCTGCTCAACTTACCTGTAAATTATTGTTGGTAGCCATAATGGCTGATCACTTGTCCAATAATAGAAACCGACGTAGCTCCGTCGTGAGGAAACCCTTTTAAAACACACTGCTTTATAATGTAACCCTACAGGTAGAGTGTTAAGTCGACAATCGATGTTTTTCTGACGCTTGTTTTCGTTTCTAAGATCGCTCCCGAGTCAGATCGAGTAGGAAACTTCCGCATTGAAAAGTCGATACTCGCGTGCACGGAATGTGATGACGTCAAGACGTACCCACGGTAGGCTACAGTTCAGAGTACACTGCGTTTCTATTTTTAAATTATAAAATAAAGCATTGAGGGAAGATATAAATATCAATCGTCACCACGTTTTCTTCCCGTGTGATCCAATGTTGTTTCTTACTCTTGTCTCTTATTACTACAACTCTTTCGTTGTCTGTCATGTAGCCTGATATTCGGCGTTTGTGTTTGTGGTAACCAATCCCCGTTCCCTTTTATATGCTACAGTCTACAGGTTTATCCAAATGGACACTGCCAGACTATGAGATAACTTTTAACCTTTGTCATTCTGACTTTAATTTAAAAAGGATTACAATGAGTTACACCTTTAAGTAAAAGCTTGAATGCAGGACTTTTACTTGTAACTGAGTTTTTGTATGCTGTGGTCTCGCTACATTTAGGCTACTGAAGTAAAACATCCTAATAGGCCTATCTCTTCCGCCACTGGATCATATAAACAGCATTTCAATTAAGTACAAGTAAGCAAAAGGTCCACTCATGCTGAAGCACATCCACACTATGTGAACTTCAAAACATATCACAGATTCTGGCATTATGAAAAATAATATCAATATTTGTTACCCAAATGTTATTTAAATACATTCTCTAACAACCTCTTTATACACTAGATACTCCTGTAGTTCTTCCACTCGGTCCAGGTACTGTTTACATTTATCTCTGATCTTTTGGTTGCCTTCTTTACCCTGGGGTTCACCTGATGGAAAGGAGAAAATGTGTTGAGCAGCATTCTGTATATCATTTCTGCCTCAAACATTTATAAACTAGAAGTTATAATGGTGAAAGCACCTAAAACTTGCAGTAACAAAAACATTAATAGGGTGATTTCACTTTCATTCATGTGTCATTATATGAATTTTGTTTCCAGCTGTAGTGACGCACGTTTTACAATGTGCAGAAAGTACTTGACAGCATGTTGGTAAGAGCGGATTGCCTCTTCATAGTTTCCATCCTGGTCTTCCACTGAAGCCTTCTGTGCTACAGCAATAGCTTTCTATGAGAGAAAATGCATTAATATTTCACATACAATCATATCTTAAGCTTTTATTAATATCACTCCATGATACCAGGGCCCTGAAACCAGTTTTCTAAAATGATATGTATAGTAGTTTGTAGTGTTTGTGGCTTTAATGCAAATGTCTACAGGCAAACAAATCTTATCCGAATATTTAGACCTTATTACTGTTGACTTGCATTAATTGTAAAGTCAGTTTAAATCTGCCTGTGGAAATCCGATGAGGCCCTACTGTTTTAGTGCCTAAATTGCTGCTGGAACGTTTTTTGTGTATAACTTCCCTCAGTTTTGTAATTATCTACTTTTCTCAACAAAAAGTTATTTATATTATAAAAGCTAAGGTTTGTCATTAGAGTACTTACAGGGTTCCTACTATTTTAGCCAATGAAAGACGACTATACTGCTAACAGCTGTCTTTCTAAACCAATCAGATAACACATATAAGGTTGTGTTCATTTCCTGCCTTAAACATTTTATAGACAGTTAAATGAACAATTTCACAGACTGCCATTGAATCACTAGGTTTGGTCAATTATGTAGTTCAGTCAGCTCTTGCAGAACATAAATAGGCTATTGACACAACATATTCCGCATTCAAAGTGCCAATTCTGCTCAATAACACGACTGAAGACTGAATCCAGGCTTTTCGTCAACATGAAACCTGTTGGATTGCATTCAGGGCATAGTATGCACTCTGTTTGTTTTTATCCGAGATACGACACTTCTTACAGTCCACTACCGAGAAACGAAGAGCAGTCTTAAGTAAAGTTATTCATCCTACCTGTAGAGTTGTGGGCTCCATGCGGAGTCCTGTCAGAATTCAAAACACAACAGATTCAGGTATCGTTTACGCAGTCGTATGCCAGCGCACAACAAGTTCCTGTAGGCTATGCATAAAACTCCCTCAGCTATGACACATGCGTCCTGTCAGAGGAATGGCAGCGATGTTGGGACGCGGAAACCTCCTGCCAGTGAGTCACGATGCTTGATTGTTGTTGCTCTAGTTACAGAGACACAACACAAGTTGCTGAGCCACTGTATGAATGAATCAAATAGAAACGGCTGTATCAGAATGATATAGCCTAATGATGAGCGTTCACTGTGAATTATTTCTAGAAATTGGAATTAAGCGAAAACACTTTGCGTAAAGTAAGACGCAGAGGATTTGTTTAAGTTGTAACACAATATTGTAGCTCTTATTCAAAAGACCAAGTGAAATTGAAAACCGGAGGCTCCAGTGGTGTGCATTTGCGCAATACCTCTAACACTTCAGTAATCATTGTCATGTGATTATGGTTTCTCCACTAGATGTCGCCCTAAGATCACTGTAGGAGGAACCCTGCAAATCAATGGTAGGGTACATGTTTGGGGCTCCTCTGATCCTGCGTTAGTGATACTACACTTTCACAAAACATACAAATATATAACATTATATGAATTATATAATATTAATAAAATGATAATGAAAACAGTGTGTATGCCTTAAAAGCTTTCTTAACCATCGTCATAGTTCAATTTTTATGTAGGTTAACACAGGTCAACTCAGCAATAAAAGCCCTGGTTGCATATAAAAGCACTAGATTTAAAATATATAATCAGATAAAATGGCAACAATAAAAAGACAAGGATAAGACAAAGTGACATAAGTTAACAATGATGACAAATAAAATATATTAATGTAATCATAGGATATTTAGTGTTTTTCTCAATATCAACAGTAGCAGCAGTTTGATGATTATAAAATGTTATCTTCATTTAATAATCAAACTCTTACATTTTATTTTTGCCTTTGCACAAGTGGCAGCCTATTTTAATTGAGCTCAAGCAAGCACAATTATAAAAAGCGATCACTTAAAAGACGATCGTAAACTTCTAGGAAAAAAAATGTTTTCTACAAATAATTAGAATGCACCTATGCATGTTTAAACTTGTATGTAAAATATAGTTTTAATGTCATGTGAAAAGGAAAGAAAGGGACCACAGAGGTGCTGCTGGGAAACGCAGTGTAAACGGTGATAGAGACCTTTGGCCCCACTCACTAGCATCGAGCTCAGACCGTCGACAGCCTGACACCTGATAGCTCCACTGTGGCGCACACTTTGGTTAGGAATATGGGAAAGTGGGGTTGTTAGTTCGGAAACATGCGTCAAAAAGAGAGTACATCCTTAACAGCAGCAGATCAACTTAACGCTCTGTCATTGACATTATCGGATTCCTACTAAAAGAGTTTTGCGCACTCACGCAGCCCTTGGGCGCATTTCATGGAGATCTATAGATGACAAGACCTGCACGCTGCGTGTTGCTCTCTGCATCTACATGGGATCTCTAAAACGGAACATGGCGAGAGGGATGAGAGGAGCTCATCTCCTCGCTGTATTTTTTACCTTTTCAGTACCACTTTTCAGGGACGCAGATGCACAAGGAACTTCTGGTTATAGTTTAAGCCCTCCGTATTTCAACCTCGCTGATGTGTCTAGTATCTCTGCCACAGCAACCTGCGGTCAGGATGAGAATGGGACACCGAGATATGAGTTATACTGTAAGCTTGTCGGGGGTCTGACCTACGGACTTCCTTCTCAAAATATACCGGTAAGAAAAAGTTAAATTCTTACTAAAGCTTTTGGATTGTGCTTAAAAGTTAATATTAAGAATATGCAGACACTGCTGTATTGTGGCTGAGTGAATATAATTAAAGTTGAGTTTTAAATCATAACTATTGACAGAAAGTATACCAGACTTTTTTTGTTTTGTCAATATGGCCTCTTACAAAGGTTTATTTGTATAAGTGCAAATTGTCTTATCCCAATGTAGGTGAGTTTTCCAAAGAAAAGGCCCTTTCTAAAAAGGTGTTGTCCTGCAGGAGTACTTCTGAACTTTTGTTTCAGAGGTTTGGCATGGACATGCACAAACTTTGGTCCAAATGTAAGATTAGCTTGTGGTTGCAATATAGCAGCATTGAAAAAGTTATTTGCAAGTGCCTGCCTGTTCCATTATAAATCATTCAACTGTTTTTCTGAACATATTTGGGCGTGTGTATCTCTGAATACCAACAATCTGACACTATTTAGGGTCAGTACTGTGACTACTGCAATGCCATTGACCCTAACAAAGCCCACCCGGTGACAAACGCAATTGATGGGACAGAGCGATGGTGGCAGAGCCCTCCTCTCTCCATGGGCCAGGGCTACAACGAGGTGAACATTACCCTGGACCTTAAGCAGGTAAGACTATCATACCTTACTCTGCTAAGAACAGCTGTTTACATGCTGCTACCTGCAATGTGAATTATGACTGCTGTGTGGTGAAGGGAAAATATAGCACATAGAAAAGTGTTCTGCCTTGGCTATTGGTCTTCCACTGTGATATGAATGATGTTATTTTGTGGGAGATGGCAGAGTACCTTCACTGGTGTGCAATTGCAATATTTTTGTACCTGTTATTTTCATTGCTGTGTTTTGCTGCTGCTTTTTTGTTTTAGAAATGCTAGAAGAAAGGTGTTTCACTCATGGTGTTGCATTCACAAATATATCCCAAAGTGTTACACAATGAGCATTATCACCTCAGCCAGCAGTGATCATGTGAATAATGTCCTGCAGTTGGATGCTTGCCAGGAATCAGATTCATCATGACCCCTGTCTCTGGAATGAGATTGGCTCATCGCCCATAAAATTGCACCTCACGCTCAATTATCTAGCGTGAGGAAAGGGAGGAATTCTTTCTCTGGATTAGGGATCAGAAGGATGTACTGTATATCAGATTTGAAGAGTGCAGGTGGACCTCTTGTGTATGGAGGGTTTTGATGAGTTCTGGAGTAGACTTCAAAAAGAGAGCAACAAATTAGCTCCTCTCCACACGTGTTGCATATTTGGCCCATAGTGCGTACTGTGTCAGACAATGGGTGCAGGCTTTCTATCTCTATTTTTAGGCAGACTGAGCTGGGCAAAGATCCTACATGGCTAAATATAGTTCATACTTACAAGAGGATGGACGCATGCAGGGCCTGTAGGGATGTCTGACACTAATACGTGGTAATTCTCAGTTTATTTGGGAGCCGGGAAAGTAGCATTATTGTATTATGGTGTGCTAAAAAGAGCATGATGGTGACTACCAAGCGCTCAACACCAAGCCTTCTTTCACTACAACACCACCACCTAAACCACATAAACACACACGCACCTGTCCCGCACATATTTCTTTCCATGGCATAGGATGCATCCACCAACACTGTAAACAGCGCTCACCTGCCATAGAGGCATGCCATACCGTTGTTTCACTCTTCTGTGTACGCAGCAGAGAAAGGGACTCTGTGTGAAAACTCTGTGGGGAGCTTTATCAGTTGGCAGCTTTGCATCCTTGGTTTTATCAAATCAACAAACTCAGCTATCATACTCACACCTTAATTGAGAGAAAGAAACACATATACATACAAATCACATAATGATAAATCCTGTTGTATCTGATTTGGGTTTTGCAAAGAAGCTTTTTCTTTTGGCATCTGTTTTATTTCACCCTACAAATGCATTTCATGCCTTAGGTGATTTTACTCTGAGGCTTTGATAGCTTTGTAAATTTTTTCAAATCCACTGGATAAATGATGTGTTAAATGAACTATGTGGGCTAGACCGAGCTGAATGAGTTTTGTGGTTTCTTTCAAGATCAACGCAGGTGGCTGTTCTGCTGTTGTCTATGTAGCTCTCTAGATATATTAGATAGCATCACAGTTGATGTTTATGTTAACATGGTGAGGTTCAATGAGAGAGGCCTTTTCTGACGGGGCTGTTTCCGTTTTTTCCTGTATAGAGGACCGTTTGAAGCACCGTCCGCCAAGTTTAAAGCTGGACTATTCTAACTTAAAGTGAACTCACAAAAGCCCCAGTGACTCTGGTGATCTTCTGACTCTACCTCATAAAGACCCTGTGAGGTTGACATTTTTGCGTTTTAGATGCATGTCTCAACAGCAATTGGAGGGACTGCCATGAATATTTGGGATACACACAATCATGTGCCCCTAAGGATGAATTGTAATGACTCTTGTGATCCCTTGACATTTCATTAAGCGCCATCATCAGCCAATATGTTACATTTTCCAATGTTTTGGAATATAATTGAAAAAAAAGAGGGATTACAATCTTACACAACTTTGTGTTTACCACTTTTACTAACTATTTAAATGCTGACATGCTTGAGTCATTACTCTCTCAATTGCCTCCAGCTCATAAATCTCATCTGAACAAGCCCTGTCCCAATGAGAGGCTGCCTGCTCGCTGTTATTGTGACCTCTTGGCTTTTGACCTGTGACCCATGACAAATCCCAGTCAAGAAATAACCTCAATAATACTCAATAGGCTCTGTGCACAAGATGGCGTCTATCAACTTCCGGCGGCTGGGTGTGAGGCTGAGTACTTCCGGTTTGAGTACAGAGTTTTGACAGTTTGACAGTTTGTTATGACACACCAAGAGCAAGAATGAGCGGATTTCGGGGTAAAGAAAAGCGATTGGCCTTCCAGCTTGTAAAGGCCCATATACACCGGCCCGACAGTTGAGAAGTCGCCGACGCCGACACCGACTGTTGCGTCGCCGGACTCTCCTGCGTATTTGACGACTTCGCGCACTGGAACACACCGCAAATCCGAGCCGAGCACGTGTGAACTGCAAATGCGTGAGTGGCAATAACTCTCCTTACCAGCAGGCGGCAGTAGTGTGTATTCATCATTCAAAAGAGGCAACAAGCGGAAGACAGAGAAGAAGAACAGACTCCGTGATATAAACAAACAACAAATAGCGTTTTTCTTTCCATTTTCACTCTCGTCCATTGAAAACATGAACGAACAGGAGCTCTATAAACCGATGAGGTGAAATAGCCGTCCGTGTGTGTTCCATCTTCCATTTTAAATCATTTGTTTACCTCCCTCACTTCCGTTAACGCTTCTCATGCACTGATTCGCTAGCTAAACAGCCAATCAGTGTTATCCCTTTGTCCGACTTCCGGTGGTGTTCCCGACGCCGATTCAACATGTTGAATCGGCAAGAAAAGGCGTCAGGTCGGCAGAAAAGACCCGACGGTGCGGGGCACA